CATAGATGGGGAAAATATAGATGTGGTATCATTTCTTAGAAAATTGGTGTACTTTTTACACCGGTTATCGCGCAGATTAAATTTAACATTATCCAGTAGCAAAATATTGATATCCAAACTTATTTTCGAAACTTTTTACTACTCGAAATTTCTATTAATACGTGTCTAATTGGTCTTATTGCCTTTCAGTTAACATCTCATTTTCATATTCTCGGATGCGCGTGGCTTCTGGCCAAAACGATAGACCTCGTTTTCGAGCATCCCAAAACTCAAAGATATATTCATCCGTAATTTCGAAAGCGACATTTTTGTATTCCATTTTTACAGAACGTTATCTTGCTAATAACTTTTGTCTGCGGTGACGATGTTCAAAAAGCGTTAATTTTAAGAAGTAGTAAAAATAAAATGATGACCAGACGAAATAGCAATTAGCTTTTGAGAGAGCGTTGCCCTGTTCGCAACGAAATGTAAATTTTCAGAAATATGATTCATTTCATTGTGGTAACAAAAACTGTATACAGTTGAACCTCATAAACTCGTTAAGGTTTAATCCGCTCCAAAATTTCCGAATTTTTACTCGTATGTGTACACAAGTTTTAAAAATGATTTAGAAAGCGCACAATCAGGGACTTCCTTCTCATCGTCGCTCGTTAAGCGAGTCATTTTTCTTACATTTTGCTCGTTAAGCGAGGTTCCACTGTATTTGATTAGAATTCAGTTTGAATATCTTTCGAAATCTATCTGTTTGAAAATTTAGCAAAAAGTTGAATAAATTTAGCTTATCAGCACTCTAGAATGATCTTTGATTTGGAATCCTATTACCCGCGGCAGATAAGATACACTAGCGAACAACGATCGTCAGCCGTTATATTCCTGTTGCTATTTTGTTCGTTCACTGTTTTTTTTTTATTTTTGCGCTATTGTTTCGATGGACGTGATTAGATTTTATTGGCTTTTTCGAATTTGGAGGACGCACATAAAAATGTAATTAGTTGGGCGGACGGATGGATGAGGCGAAAAAGTATTCGCCTCTCTTTCTTTCCATCTTCCTTTTGACCGGTTCACTTTGGAAAAGTACGGAGTGTCCGTAATAATGCACGGAAAGATAATGCTTTTGTTTATCGCGTTTCTATTACCTTGATTGGTTGGGCGAGAGATCGAGAGCGCCGCTTCCTATACTAAAAAAAACGCCTGACCGGAAACGGTTTCTGAGATTTTGATTTCCAATCCATGGTCAATCTATAAAAAAATATCTGTATTTCGTTATTAATACTAATTCGTCATAATTGTGATAACTACTTTTCTTTTTTCAAATTGTTAATACTAACTGAAATGTAAAATCTCTATATTAATTTTACTTTTTATCTGCTAAAGTTAAATTACTGGACGAATATCAAATACAGTAGAATCTCGCTTAACGAGCATAATCCGTTCCAAAATTTCCTGATTATTACTCTATAGTGAAACAATTTTCCCCATATAAACTAATTTAATACAGTGGAACCTCGCTTAACGAGCATTTCGCTTAATGGGCAAAATGAATTGTAAGAAAAATGACTCGCTTAACGTGTAAATTTTCGCATAACGAGTGACGATGAGAAGAGAAGTTCCTGATTGCGCGCCTGCTATATCATTTTTAAAACTTGTGTACACTTATTATGTGTATATTTGAATATGTTTCATTATACGAGTAAGATTCCGATTGTTTTAGAACGGATTATGCACGTTAAGCGAGTATACGATAATGCATTCCATTTTGGAGTCATTTTTCTTACAATTTATTTTGCTCGTTAAGCGAGATTGCACTGTATGTAGAATTATCCTATAATTTATTTGTAAGCATATGAATTTAAACCTAATTTGAGTAAATTCCTTTCATGTGTTCCCATTTTTCATTTCTTACTGTCGATTATTAAACTGATAATATAAATCTCAAAAAAAAAGTTAGGTTAAACTGTACATATTTATTTGACGTTTTATTGAGTAACCTTAGCAATTAATACAGGAATATCAAAATATTGATTGAAGTAGATTATTTTTAGAAATGTTGCGAGACAATTTTTATAAAAATATGGAACTCTGCAGATAGACCGGAAAGACAAAGTATGGAAACTATTGATCATTTAGCTGCAGTAAATTTCATGGACAATCTACTGAATTTTATTCCATCTACTGAAAGTAGACAAGAAAAGAATTTGCCATTTATGCTCAAATACTCTTCGAGGTTAAAAAAACTAAAATATGTTACAACTTCGTAAATATATATAAAAAAATCATTTATTTTTTTCGGGTAAATTTTGTGAATATATTTCAGTAGTTAAAGAGTTAATTTAATAAATTGACAATTTGACGTTTCAGTGAATAATATAAAAATATTGACAACTATTTAATTAATTAATTTGACAACTTACGAAAGTTTAGCAACTACCGACATTGACAGCTATTTACTTGTTAACCTATTTTGCAAATAAAACTAGACTATACAAATACAATAATACTTCTGTTATTTACGACTCAATACGCAACGTATTAGTTGTTACGCAACGGCTGCATTTGCTATCTCGTATTTAAAGTAAAGCAATAAATACGATGATCTCTCTACAAATTGAGGAGCAGCATGAGTATCACACAGCTCGGTCGTGAATTAATCTTGCAATTGTAATGGCCTCAAAAAAAAAGAAGAAATATATGGGATGTATACAATTTCGTACGCGCATCTTTATCGCGTTGGCATTGAACAATTGTTTGTTCGGCCCGTTTGGATTTTGTTATTATTATTTTCATTAATCGAGACAGAGCGTGGGTTCTGCCCGAAAAATATAGACAGATATATTTGCTTATCGCTATTTTGTTGTGCACGTTTGTATTTTTAAAAGTTTTATTCGTTTTCTATATTATATCTCCAGAAAGCACTTCTACTTGCTCAGAAACCTATAGGGTGTAAATTCATTAACAAAATATTAAACATTAACATTTTTGTTGAAATTTACGGTATTTTTTTAAATTTTCGATATTTTATTTATTTTTTAATTTTTGTATTGTTAAAATTTGCATTTTGATAACTTTCAGGTTTTTCTTTTTCTGAAAAAGGTATTGATAGGCGACTAAACAAACGAATGATGAAAATCCTTCGAAAATCTAAATATAGATGCATCACAAATGGCAACTAATTTATATGTTGACTGTGGCTCAATTAATTTTCCCCGAGAACGAGTCTGTAATTCCCAATCATCCGTTGCACCTAATATGAATTCGTAATAAAAAAAAGTTTGTTTTCCGTCTCGAGTCTATATAGCCGTAGTGTTCGTCGACAGACTACTAAATCAACTACAAAAGAAAACATTGTTCTTGTTGTGAAAATTCCTCATAAATAATTTAAGACGAAATATTGCCCTTTATGACTCGATTTCTGTAAATTTTCTTTAGATCGATCGGAAATAAGTTTAGTGCAAAGTGGCCATAAAAGTAGGCGATCTGGACGTGTCTGAAATTGCTTTTGCTTCTTGATACTGCGTCACCCCACAAACGTGTCGTTCGCCATAGGTTATTATTGGATTTGAATATTTTATAGACCTGGAGCGCGTCAATCAAAATATTATTAGATCGAAAAGGTACCTTTATTCAACTTTGAAACAGGTTTCAAATAATGATTGTGTAAGTGTAAATGATTTCCATTAGGGAAAATTACAAGAAATTGATGATTATGTCATGGATGTAATTTTGTTGTTTCTCTTGCTACAATACTAATTTTAATCTGTGCTCAAGTTTGATCAATTTACTGTCAATTATGGTTCAAGTAGGCCCCGGTGCGCCGTTTGTTATATAGCATCATCTGCGAGGCTTTTGCATTTAGAGAGTAATAATGTATAGATGCTTTCGTAATTTTGGAACAATGTTAAATTATGTCCTTTGATTATATTGATTAAGTTTTATCTCATCATACATTTTCAAGTATTAAATTAATCAATAGAGTGTCTTAATATTTACAGGTAACTCTCATTAAAGAAGATACTGTTCTAAATTGGTACCTTCATCTTTAAGAATAAAATAATAGCTTCAGAAACATTTTCATTAATCTACATTTATAAATACGAAGATTCAGATGTTATTATTACGTACTGCAAAAGTTATTAATAACAATACAGTATTATAATTTGAACAAAAATTAATAATGTATAAGGCAGGCATTAAGGTTGTTGTGAGCCCTAGATAACAGGCTTAATCTTACTTAAGAACTAAATTCCTGACTCTTAAACCCAACATTTTACTTCGTGAGCCTAAAGTGCCTAATAGAAAAATGGCACTGATATAAGCATCCAATTATTGAATTTATAAATGAAAATGTTTAAGGAAAAAATATTGTAGACTGTACATAAATTCTGTTTCATTTTGTCACGAAAAGTATTGAATAAAATTGTTTCATAATTATTTTACTTACTGTTTACTTTTATTCCAGTTATTGAAACAATATGAAAGTTTTTATTTGTTGAATTTAAGAAATTGAAATATTGAAATAATATAAAGATTGAGATAAAAACCTTTGAGCAAAGTTGGTTCTAAATAAGTTTTTAAATGTTTCAAAATTCGGAAATCATACAAAGTTTTCTACAGAATTTTTTTTTTTACGAAATCATAATTATAAAATTAGATATCAATGCTTGAATTTGATCTCTTGGATTAAGTGTGAATGTTATATTGAATTTAATATGTTAATATGTTATTTAAATGGAATAGATTGTAAATAAGTAAAGATGTTTCGACATCAAATACATAATTCAAGTGAAATGTAGGTGCGGTGAGTTTCAAGTTTTGTAACCTCGATTTTTGGAAGGAAGTTTCCCGTAGGCGCGTTTCGTATCCGCGCGGAAGTGTTCGTAGTAGTAGAGCGTTGATTCATTTTTGTTTGTTTGTTTTGCTTTTTTTATATTGTTCTCTCTGTATTATTAGTGGACTTTCATTTCTGGATGCAGGCTCTACTAAAATTCTGATTTTTTTTGCAGATCGCTAATGATGTGGTACCAGCAGATACCTTCAGCCCTTCTGGACTCGCCTTCCCATTCGAGCCTTGCCCTACTGACACTGTGCAACGTCTTCGTGCTTTCGCTTGGAAGTCAGGAGGAATGGACGAAGACGTTCCCGTTTGGATCCCTTTCGGAAGATAGATCGGATCCGTTCACCAGGGCCTTCATAAATGTGTCGCGCGGCAGCGAGAAGGGCTGGGTGTGGGATAAGACTGCCGTCGGTCGATACGGGGGCGGATACATCGGGCCGGCCTTCGGGATGGTTGTCCACGTGACGGCCGTCGACGATCCCGACGACCACATGGGATGCCAGGGGCCCTTTGCGAGCAGTCGTCGCGACGGACGTCTGCCGCCTCCCGGTGAACCCTGGATTGCGCTCATCAAACGCGGACAGTGCAACTTCGAAGTCAAAGTCGAGAATGCGTATAGGAGCAACGCTGCCGGTGTCATCGTCTACAACGATCGCGACTCTGGCAATCTGGACAAGATGAAACTATCCACAGACAATGGCAGTAAGTCACTCTTATTTTCACCATGAAAACTCACAAACTCTTCTTCACAATGGAAATCTGTCAATTATGTCAAATAAAATCATCTAGTTCTCCATGACAACCACATAACATAACAATATATTTGTTATGAATTAATGATTATCTATGGAATATTTCATTATTATATGAAATTTCCAAAAAATGTATATGCTGTTTCCCTAGATCAAAAAAGAATCTGTGAAAAATTAAAATTCAAATATTGGGTGAAGTAAAAAGTTCTGAGCGTTTTGTTCAATACATCGAGCTTCTTCTTGAGACCAGCCTTATGCAAATGGTCCAAACAGTTTTCTGGCTAATCTTCAGTTCCTAGGCAATGGAATAAGTGCTCGCATGGCGGCCCGACTCGACGATTTCCATGTTTTTATCAACATTTTCGATGATTAGCCAAAGCGTGTCTCATCTTCGACGTCCATATTACCAGAACGAAAGCATTGGAACCAAAACTTTGTTTTTGCATTTGATATTGTAAACAACACATTTTTTTGGCCGCCTGCTCCGCTTTTCCCCTTGGTCGTAGTGGTACTGAAGAATATACCGAATTTTGGATTAACTAACCAAATTTTTTTTTTAAAGCGTTATGTCGTAGTATAGAATGACAAGATTCAACGTATACATCGTGAGATTATGGCTCATTAGAGCCATCCAACGAAAAACGCTCAAATTTTTTTACTTCACTCATATATAGAAAGTCTATCTTGCATACTTTAATATAAATATAAAAATCATTACGAGAAAACAATAATGTTATTCAAAAGACATGGAAGGAAGTCGTAATAATATTCAAATAAGTTGTAGATATTTTATCACGAAAATGTTTATTAAATTCCACCGTTTGTTTGTTTAAAAAATATAATATAAGCAAAACATTTACATTTTGAAATATATTTATCTTGATAATTATAGATAATATATATATTCATAATTAATAAATTAAATTAGCATTCTGAATAAGCTATAACTAAATAGTTTATGATAAATAAGGTAATTCATAAGAGAAAAAAAATACAAAAATATATTAAAACAGTTCATTATTGTTACCTATTTCATATTTTCTTCATCAAAATATGTAAATGCTTTGATTATGTAAGCAAATTTAATTATGAATATTTTTCATAAGTCATTATATTGAGAAAATTAACATTTAAAAAAAAAACTTACAAAAAAACAGATAGTTTGTTATACCAGGAAAAATTTGTTTAGTTTAACGTAGGTCAGTTTTGTTTAGGACAACTAAATGTTTGTTGATAATGAGTCTGGTCCAAGACAATCTTCAAAAATCAAACCTTTGAAAAAAAAAATCATGTAAATTTTTAATTAAAACGGATATATTTATACACTTAACAGGTTTCTCAACCTATTTGCCGCGTGACCAAACATACAGTAGAATCTGTTTTTGAGCGGTCCTTTTTTATACGGTATATGAAATCTAACCAATTCCATTGTAATATTTTGGCACCATTGTAATGTTTTCTATCAGTGTGCATATGTACAGGCTGCTCAAACGATTATGTTTCAAATAATTAGCTTAACACATGTTTTTACTTAAAACTGATCACATTTAGATATATTTTAATATCTAAATTACTATTATAATAGATTCACAAAAAAACGCAAAGACATACTTAAATTCAAATAATATTATTTGTCATTTTATAAAACGAAGAAAAAAAACTTTAAATGCTTCAATCACGAGATTTTACGGACTTTTACCCGGCAGTTTAAGAAAAGATGCAAATTTACAAATGCAATAATTGGCAAGCGCGAAAAGATTATAAACATGACGAAAGAAACACGTCTCGTCGTTTTAAGTCTTTGTCTTTTACGTTTTATTTTGTCGTTGACATTTGTGTGTGTGTGTGGGTTCGTTTTGTTACGTTCGAAACCAGTAATTTGCCCGTACGTACTTACAAGTGGCAATCAGCTAAACGTCCAAATTGCCATCTCATTACATTCTAAATAGAATTCATTAATCCGGTCTTTGTGTCTCCTTCGAATTTCGTCACGTAACATTGAAATTTTCATCAAATTAACACACATACATATATAAAAACAACAAGAAATACCGCAAACGTGACATTCCAAATTTGTAAATGCTGTCAATGGATCGCAATTTAATGTTATTCCGATTTCTATTATTTCCAATTTTTGTTAATTTTAATAATGAAATTTTATAGGAATATCCCGCACTGTTTAAATTTGCACAAAAAGTATATAAAGGAAAAAGAAGATCATTAATGTAAAGAAAAAGAATAATTTTGTGTCTTAGTTTTTTAATAATTAATTTTCATTTAGCTCAAGTAAAGTTTAGTTTGTTTTGAAATATTCAAAACGTACTCTAGTGAATCCGCACTGATTGATGTAGTAAGGTATAACTGTGATTTGGAATATGTTGTTTCTGTTTGAAAATTAGTTCAATGATTTATCACGAAGCTTGAATTAACTTACAGTTATGTAATCGTGCATACTGGGAACTATTTATTTGACCTGAGGAGTGATTGAGTTTAACTAGTCTACACTTTCGTATTTCGCATCGTTCGCACACGGCTCCGACAATCTTGATATTATATCAATTTTGTAGAGATGTTTTTCGAGTATTTTTCCGCTCCTCGTCGAAAGCGAGCCGGTGAAAAAGTTTGGAGCGTTGAAAATGGAGCGGTTCGAGCGAGATGCATCGCTCTATTATTTATTTGTTATTAGCATCGCTCGACCTACTTTAAATGTACTTTAAATTGCCGAGAGAAGATGTGTCGTTCCTTTCTTTCTAATGATCGCCAATTAAAATAGATCACGAACACTTTTCGTACCAGAAGAAGAAAAGAACGAAATATGCATAGAGATAGAGATGTGAGATGTTTTCCCGTATTCTCGTCTCGCGGATCAATTGTTAATCTTAGATTGAGAATCGCTCCAAACGTTTCGCAAACTGGAATTTTCGTATCACCGCTGCTGCTGCTTCTTATTTCTTTCTGCTGCTGCTCTCTTCTTACGTTGTTCGTTCGGCTATGCTTGATCTCCGAAGGTCAGCACCGGTCTACAAACAGCTGAACACAATGAACGTTTCGAAGCGATAATTTCACCTCGAAATATACTGCACAATTGTTACTTTGCTTGTACTTGCGTGTATTGAAACAAATGAAATTCTACACTCATTACAGATCTGATTACTGATTTTCGGATTTTTATTTGAATGTGACGCTTTGTCTGCTAGTTTAATTGATTTGTACTTATTGCACTTCTAACTATTTCTTTAATTCATATAACACAAATCCAAATATTTTCATTGCTTAATACTAACTTTACAATAAAATTCTTTGCAATTTCACTCTTAATTTCCAATTATTGCAAAAATATAAATTTCTATAAATTAGCTCAGTATATTTCATTGGAATTAAATTTTGATTTTACAAAAAATTTTGAGTTTAAAATTTTATTACAAAATTATCCAAAAAACATTTCTTCTTTCAAGAAATGAAAATTAATTGATAATTGATTAAATTTACAAAGAAATTAAAGTTACTATCTTTATTTTTTTTCACAATTTTCTAAAAGTAGCTTAATGTATTTTTTTTAAGAAACCAAAATCACTATGTAGTAAGTATCAAATTTGAAATTGTTTTTTTTTTCATAATAGTCAGAAACATTCGAAATTGAAACAAGTTTTAATTATTAAAATTACAAAAAACATGAGTTGAAACAAAACAAGAATTATTTTTGTAACAAAATACCTAATATAAGTATAAGAATTTATGTTAGTTGCATCTAAATGAAACGAGAAACAAAACAATAACTAATTTTGAAACAAAATACTTCGAAATTTAGAAATGTCAATTTTAATTTTGTTTATTAACAAATAGAATAAAATAAAACTTATACATCGATATAAACTAAATGAAAGCAATTGCTAGTATACACATAAAGTTGATATTACACACAATACGTATTTTTTATGAAATAACCTTCATACACTTAACATGTTTTAACCTATATTGTTTTTATTTCCTGCAGAATTACATAATAGTTTCATAAAATTAGGTTAACACTTTTTAGTTCATTAGAGAGGAAAGTCTGATGACATTTAGACATATTTCAATGTACATCAGCGTTTCTCAACCCAACATAATTGTTTGTAATTTTACTTCGACCCAATTGTTTCTAACGACGCAAGGTGACAGTTGCCATTTTGCAACGCTTAGGCTGAGGAAGCGTTTGTAAATTATTCTAAATTTGAAGATGAAAACACTGTGGATTCAAGAAAATTTAACTATGATGCAGTTGGAAACATCCGAAAGCAAACAATTGAGGGAGTTATGTAACGGCGCCGCCTATGCTAATGGGAGGCGTGAATCGAGAGTAGAAAGTAATTTGCCGGCGATATGTAAATTCTTATTTCATGCTCCTTTTTTCCGTCCTCGGTTCACCAGTTTCTCATCTTTACGTAACGGAGCTGAATTAATGCATGCAGAAGAAACGAACGACAACAACAAACAAACAAAAAATCTAATGAAACAACAACGAAACCGAGCGTGCGGTTCAGCAAATCGCCGTTCTTCGGTTGTTGGGAAAAACGTTGGAAAAGTCGCGTTCGCATTAAAGCGCGACCCGTATTAATGAATAAAATGTTGTTGCAAAACAATGCGACGGAAAGGACAAAAAAAAAGTATATATACAAGTAACAAACGGTGCATTATTTTCGGTTTTCATTCATCGAAGAAATCCGTGCACAAAGAAACTCTGTCACGGTCAACTACAACTGGGCGAGTGACACATGGGAAATTGGAAAGATACGACGCGTTTAATTGAATTGTAATCATTGTCATTTTTTTTAATTTATAGAAATTTACATCAAAATTCCATTATGGATTTATTGCATTTGGTTGAGTAATTGCGTTTTTTTTTTAAAGATTGGAAAGGTTACGTTAGGTCACAAGCACGTCCATGAACGAGCAAAACATTAATTCGTA